ACAACAACAACGGCAACAGCAACAACAACAACAACAACAACAACAACAACAACAACAACAACAACAACAACAACAACAACAACAACAACAACAACAACAACAACAACAACAACAACAACAACAACAACAACAACAACAACAACAACAACATTAACAACAACAACAGCAGCAGCAGCAGCAGCAACAACAACAACAGCACCAGCAACAGCAACAGCAACAGCAACAGCAGCAGCAGCAGCAGCGACAACGACAACGACAACGACAACGACAACAACAACAACAACAACAACAACAACAACAACAACAACAACAACAACAACAACAACAACACCAACCCCAACCCCAACACCAACACCAACCCCAACCAAAAACCAACGACCAACGACCAACAACCAACAACCAACAACCAACAACCAACAACCAACAACCGACGACAACCGACAACTACCAACAACATCCAACAACACTCAACCAACAACAACCAGCAACAACCAACAACAACCAACAACAACCAACAACAACCAACAACAACCAGCAGCAACCAACAACAACCAACAACAATTAACAACAGCCAACAACAACCAACCAACAACACCCAACAACAACCAACAACAACCAAGAACCAACAACAACCAACAACAACCAACAACACCCAAAAACCAACAAGAACCCACAACAACCAACAATCACCAACAACCACCAACAAGCACCAGCAACCACCAACCACCAACAACAACTAACAACAACCAACAACAACCAATAGCAACCAACAGAAACTAATAGCAGCCAACAATAAACAATAATAAACAATAACAAACAGCAACAACCAACAACAAACAACCACAACCAAATAACCAAACAAACCAACAAACAATCAAACAAACAAACAGCCAAACAAACAAACAAACAGACAAACAAACAAACAAGCAGACAAAAACAAACAGACAGACAAACAAACAAACAGACAGACAAACAAACAACAAACAAGCAGACAAACAAACAAACAAACAGACAGACAGACAGACAGACAGACAGACAGACAAAAAACAATCAAACACTCAAACAAACAAACAAACAAACAAACAAACAAACAAACAAACAAACAAACAAACAAGCAACAACAACAACAACAAAAACAACAGCAACAGCAACAGCAACAGCAACAGCAACAGCAACAGCAACAGCAACAGCAACAGCAACAGCAACAGCAACAGCAACAGCAACAGCAACAGCAACAGCAACAGCAACAGCAACAGCAACAGCAACAGCAACAGCAACAGCAACAGCAACAGCAACAGCAACAGCAGCAGCAGCAACAACAACAACAACAACAACAACAACAACAACAACATGCGGTGTGCCTGTCAATTGGGGAAGCCTCCAAAAACTTTGGTGTGTTGAACGCTGCTCCCAACGAAGGTATGCTCTGGGCCTTGGAAATCACATTTGGGTGTCAGGTCTTCCGGGCTGCCACCGTGGACGTGGGCTGCAAGGAGAAGACACGTCGATTTTGGCGGGTGTCTCAAAAGAAGGGACCGAAAACATGTTTGGGTTCCTTCTGGGGGTTCCCTTTTACCGCACACCAAAAGACTTTTCTCCAAACAAAGACGCAAGCGTTTGCCCAAAGGGGTGGTGGCTCGTCAAAGGGTACCAACCCGCTTTTCAGGCCCCTTTCAGCAAAAGCCCCAACCCGCCAAAGGATGGGATGTCCTAAGATTGGGAAAGGATGGTCATCGCGAAGCCCTAGGCAATGGGCGCTAGACAATGGGCCCTCGATCCTTTGGACTCACATACCCCCTACTTGCATGATATACAACTTATACTACTTTGCTATTGGGTTGACATCCAGAAATCTTGTTTGCTTGGTTCAAACCTGTCGAAATCCTGGAAAGATGGGCGGCAAAGACGGGACTAACCTGAGTTTGGGGTGCCCATCAACTAAAGGCGAGAAGGGGCCATTGAGCAACTTAGGTTGGAGAAAAAGAACAAGGGGCCCCAAAGGAAGCGGTTCCCCTTTTCTTAACCTTGGGATTGGGAAAAACACAGCTTGAGCTTCATTGTGTTTCCAACAGATCCAGGGAGGTGTTGGTTGGCTGCTCCGAAGGTTGACTTGTAGAGATCATGGGTCCTAGACTTCATGTTGATAAAGGCTTCCCTGCTTGCTTCCTGTTCCTCAAGGCACTGCACCTTTGACATGTCGCGATGGCAAGTTGAAACAAGTCGTTACACCCGGGACCCCATGCAAGCAAACTATGCACCGAGTTGGTCAGAATTCGTCAGTCCCAAACGACTCGGCTGGGGTGGATGTCATATTTGAAGAGACGATGTTGTGGCGGTTGCCTCTGCATGTTCTCTTTTGGTAGATTTAACGGACCCCCTGGCAGCGTAGAACCCGTTTTTCAAGCGGGACCCCTTTGCTTCCCGAAACAATGAGAGGGTCAATGCAAACGGGTGTGTCGGTTTTGGGGGGGTACCCGGTGTTGGGTTGTTACTTGGGGGGTTCCTCCTATGTTAAGACGCACCCAACTGGCCAACGCTGCGTCGGCTGTGCAGTCGCTGCCGCTGATGCGCGACTTTCTTCTGGCCACCGCTTCGACCATTGCAGATGCAAGGCCAGGGGGTTTGCCCATGCGGTGGACAGGAGGGTCGCCCAATTCTATTGACCCAGTCTTCCCCTCGAAAAGAGTGAGCGATTCGGCAATCAACAACTGTCCAAACACAAGGGACACTCAGAGTCTATCTGGGTATGTGTCAGAATAGGCAGACCCCAAGAGCTGGTGGTTTCCCCTTGGTTCCCTTCAAACCCACAAAAGGCACCCTCAAAAGGACATCAGTTCCTTGAAATGGAAGCCAGGGACCCCCCAGTCAGTTGGACCGCTTGGAAGGCCTGGATCACCTTGCCCCGAACGCCATGGTGCATTCAAGACGGCTCGTCGGTTATGCTCATGTAGGTCACTGAGCAGCGGCTAGCACTCATACATCAAAGCGGGCTTCTGGAGGAAGCCTGTTTCGTGAACCAGGCTCTTGACAATCAGCGGAGTGGTTTTGCCCGAAAGGGATACAAGTCACTCTGTGCCTCCTCCGGTTTGTGGCAAGACCTCCCAATAGCTCCAGGTGCCTTCAGTGCCCTCTGCTATGTTGTCACGGCTCTCCACATCCACAGGTGACCAGGGGTCAGAGGCATCCCCCCTCCAAGACCACCTCATGACACGCACCAGCGCTTCACTCGCAGGAAGCCATCGCCAGATTCCGTTGGAGTTTGACTTCAAGTCTGCAAACTGATAAGTTTCTGTAGTCGCGCAAGTGGCAACAACATCACTGGATATGCTAATTACTCCAATCCCGTAGGCTCCATTGGTGCGTTGACCACACATTGCCACGAGCTTAGGGCACATGCCCCTATTGTTGGCCTCACTCTGGCGGCGGGACATTCCACATATCTCAGGATTCTCAAAGAAAGACAAACCCCGTAGGGATTGGCCGGCGAATTGCCCTCTACAAGGTCGCAAGAGCCAACACTCCAGTGAGCAGCTGAGCTTTAGCAGCTAGCACCGGTGCCGGCAGCGCTTTTAAGGACCCCAAGGCCCGTGTCAATCGAACATACGCCGAAACTGAAGATTGGGAACCTGGAGCCTGAACACCTGCTACTGTTCCAAAACAAGAGTAGAAAGTGCAAAACAGTTTTCAGGAGTGCAAGTCTGTCAAATGTTGCGGGTTTGTCGGTGCTGAGAGAAGAGCTGGTGCGCATGACTAATTCAATTTGATTGGACTTCCGCAGGTTGAGAAGAAGACATGGATCTTGAGCTCAGCTGTGCGAAGTCGGGATGGGAAGCAGGAGCGCAGGGTTCAGCGACCCTTTCACCGCAGGTTTCCAGAAACATGCCAATGAAGAAGACCCTCAAAAGTCGTTGGGGTGGTGTATGTCCTGAAGGGGTCCATTTCCACTGAATCGATATTCATACCCAAATTTCTTTGCATTGGGATGTTTGTGGACCCATCTTCCTTATTGCAGCTGCTGCACTCGTTTCCCACCGCTCGTGGGTTTTGTTGTGCCCTGGCTTTCTCCGCTTGAAGCGGAGAAGGCCAGGGTGAGGCAGGCCGACTCGGCATCGGGCCACCGGCTGTGTACAGGCGGAAAAGGTCGACGGATGTTCCCTTCAAGTATCTCACGGTCACTCACTTCCTTTGAACTTTTTGGGGAGACCAGTGAAGTGGCAAACAAAGAGTTTGGCGCTGTTTTTGCCAGTCCACTCGGGAATGATAGCTTCAAGATTGGCTGTTTCAAGATTGGACCTTGTCCCCAGTCGCAGGGCAGATGTCGGCAGACTAGTGACTAGTTCTAAAGCAAACCATCAGGCAGGTCTAGTCATGTAGACAGGCCAGAGAGTATCATTTACTTGGAGGATTCTGACTCACTGACACGCAGCCCCAAAGGTGAATAATGAAGAGTGGACTTGCTAACTTCATTGCTCCAAGTTCAGCACTGCGCTCAAGTCGCGCAACTCTGGCATAAGAAAACATGTTGTTGCATTTGGGTGTTTTATTGCAAAGTGGCCCATTGGTGTGCCTGACATTTTTGAAAGAACGCGATTCCAAAGGCCCAGTTTCTAAGCGGGTTTCCAAGGGGAAGGTCTGCTTTTTCTTTTGGCCTATTGGAATGACTGCTGTTTGCCACAGGAACCCAAGCTGCTGTGACAAGGGCTATGGGGAGACGCTAGTCAATCTTTGGTACTCGCACGTGTTTGCTCTCACCAGTTCTTCTTGGGAAAGCAACTTGTTCGAAAGAAATACTCAACGAATGAGTGAATGCGTGAGTGAATGGGAGAACAATACGACCGTCAACGCCCTTTCAATTACACCAAGCATGTTGGTGCTCAGTGCCATGGGCATTTGTCGGGATTGGGTAATGTTGTTTCACAATTAGACACTGGATCAATTTACCAAAAAAAGCAACTGTGGCCATTTCTGGGTGCCGTTCTCAAAAAATTGGGATTCCGCAGGCTTCATTGGCCTGGTGCGGCAAGGGGCCTCAAGGATCAAAGAAAGGCTCGACGTGGCAGGGCCAAGGTCAAAAGGGGGTGTGGCGTTTGGAGAGGAACTCTCTTGGGGTGTGTTTACAGGGAAACACCCAAATCTCCTTTTTGAGACGTTTGGTTTTTTATGCAAACCAAGAACCCAGCCCTTTTCAAGAATGCGGTCATCAACTGTATGGAGAAACGTGGGCCCCGATACCAAGGTTGAGAAGGCCAGAAGTAATCTTCATGGGTCAAGCGTGGCCTTGTCCATTATAAATCATTTTCAGGGGCTTCTGTCACACTGGACATACATGCCATTTTGAGCTCAAGTTGTATCAATATGTTTACCTCATTTACTGGTGTTAAGCTCGGGGCACGCACTGTACTCCTCAAAAGAGCTCCTTGGAGATAGATCAGACAGATTTCAAGGGCTAAAACCACATTTGAGGCCTTTGAATTGTTTCATTCACGAGGTTCACGCGGATGTTTGCTTGTGGCATGGCATTTTGCGTGCTCTAAGGCCGTTGGTGGACGCCGGTCTTCTGCCTGCGGAGACTGACACAGTGGTGTGGTGCTCAGGGCGAGAGGCCAAGCGATCGAGTGGCGTGCTTCATGATGCTTTCATCCAAAACAGGGCGAAAACGCCTTTGGGCCGGCGCTTTCGACTCAGACTGGCGACCCCCAAGTGTGCTAGCTGAGAAAAGAGACGCACTGGTAAACCAGCTGTGTTGGGTGGGATCTTTTCATCCGTAGGAAGAACGCCGCGCATTGGCCATGGCCGCTTAGGTTCATGCGGTGAGTGGATACTCCGGCGGTGGCAAGGCAACGGCTCGCAGCAACGTCAACTTTGGACTCATGCAGGCCAAATGATTAGCGGTTCCCCTTGGAGAGAAAAAAATCAATGGGTTCTTGCCAATTGCCCCTTGTGATTTGAGAATTGGATAGGATGAACACGGCAGCCACGGGACATTGGCTGGAGTTATTCGTTGAAATTGTTCAATCGATTGTGCTTGGTTTTCCTTGTTTGAGCTACGGGCCGTCTGAACTGTAGCCACCAGGCTTGGGCAAACTCGAGCAACCAGACTCTGGTACCCTTTGAAAGAAGAGTCAAGAGGAGCCTGTTTAAGCAGTTGGTGCTTGAACATGCTTGAATCGCAGGGTGGGCCCGACCCTGTACTCAAACTGATGTGACGCTCTCCAAGTCAAATTGTCTCTAAATTGAAATTGACCCAAAGAATTGCAAGGTCAAGATGAGATGCTTAATGTCTGCACGGCAACAATGTCAAAAGATACAAAATGTTTACACCTGCAGCAAGGCAGTCTGTTACTCCAGGTTGCCGCCACTGACAACTGGCTTTGAGCACAGCGTGCCAGATTCAGCAACACTGAGGAGCAACAGCTCGTGAGACGAAACACCCATGCCGCTGAAGTGGGGTATCTGGGGAGGCGCGGCAATTGGATGATATGTAAAGGAGAACTGGAGCACGGCCTTTGGCTTAGCCCCTGAGATCTTTAAAAAACATTGGATTTTCCCACTGAATCTCCGGAACTCGTTCCCCAACAGCGACAGCTATGGAAGATTTGCCGATGGATTTGCGGCGGGTTTCATGGCTATCGGGGATACTTTTTGAGGTAAACCTTTTTGGTGTTTACTTAGAGGGAGACCAAAAGGACACCAAAAGTTGATGCCGTTCAACTTGTTGAGAGGCCTATCCTTTCAGAACAAACCCTTGAGCTTTGTTTTGCTTGTTGGGTTGCTTTGTCAGGAATTGAAACCAGACGAGTCACATGTTCAAAGAGGGCAAGATATGTCCCTGCAGAGTGTGTGGCTCAGGGCGAGGTAGGGTGGGAGCGCCAGACGTTTTTGTTTTTCACTCCCGCCCGCCCAAGCCCACAATTGTCCGGCATCATTGATTGTCCGGCATTTTGCCAATTGAGGTTGTTTCATTGTTGTCAGCCTACAGGCTGCAGTCGTGCCTCATGCATATTGTCGCAATGGTGCATTGTCTGGCGCTTTGCGCATTGTCTGGCGCTTTGCGCATTGTCTGGCGCTTTGCGCATTGTCTGGCGCTTTGTGTATTGTGGAGAGATTGCTTGAACCATCGCTTGTACATTGTGACGGCCCAGGTAGGCCCATTGTGAATGAATTGTGTGTCATCTCCCCTTGTAAGTTGCCAGAAGCCTTGGCCAGTCTTATGCCGATTTTGAAGGGAATAGCTCCTTAGTGTCCATGTTTGAGAAGGTCTGTTAAAACCCTCCTGGCCCCGCGCCTAAATTGGGAAGCAGTTCTGAGGTCCGTGTTTGTGTTGTTTACCAGGTTCCATTGATCGCCATTTGGCTCAAGACACAATTGAGGTTCAAGATCTTATGTGTAGCTGCGTTCATACGTGATCGGCATTTGAGAGCGGAAAGCACTTCGCTTGCGCTGCATTTGTCAGGACCACTGTTGTAACTATTATTCCTTCTCCCTTACAACGTTTACACGGGTTCGGCTATAACGGCTTTGACCGTATACACCTTTCTACGTGGTTGGTATTACAGCTGGAGGGTTCGGTGTACAGCGTCCCACGGGACGTCACCTTGCCGTCTCTTGACAGGTTATCAGCCGTAACGACAAGCTCTACACTGGACAGAGAGACAGCTGGTTTATTGCGGGTACAGGGACAATAAAGGGACAATAACCTACACAGTACAATGGCATCTTCGGCGAGCCCAAGTACTGCAACTTTTGGGAACAGCAGCTCAGAGGGATCCAATGGATTGATGGCTCTTCCTGCGGTGATGGATATGATCGCAGATTCACAGGATGAACCTGGGAGCGGAGGATCCGCGCTATTCAGCGACATATCCACTCCCACAAGATCATGGAAGCAGATCGATGTTCATCAGGAGTCGAAGCAAAGAGAATCTCGCCGAGAAGATCATCATCTTCGCCTGCGACACCGCGGACGTCGCAGAAGGGCGTGAGGTCAACATCAAAAGGGGGGAGGTCTAAATCACCCACCAGTGCAGAGTTTCGCGCCGCGATTAAAGAAAAGAACAAGATGGAGATGGAGATCGGGGAATATCAAAAGACACTTGATGAAATGTCGGCAGCGATGGCGAATCTTCATCAAGAAGACTATGGGAGCACCATGAGGAAGCCCAACAGATGCGCAAGGTGGAAATGAACGCATATCAGTACGGGGAAAAGAAAGACATGGAGTCGAATATTATAATACAACAGATGAGACAAGCTGAAGGAACTATTATGGAGCAGAAGCGGGAGATTGCAGTGATGAAATCCTACATGGCAAGCGAGAAGTCGGCCGCGCAGGAATCAGCTATACATGCAAGTCAGATACACCGTGAAGCTTCGCAACAAATATCAGTTTATCAACAACAGATCAGAGGCATCGAATCGTCTACATCTATCGAGAAGTTCAACGAGGAGGAGATGGTCCAAAGCCTAAAATCACAGTTGGAGCACGCACTTGTCAAACGCCCCGAGACGTACTCTATGGAGGACTCCAGGGAACAATTGATGGCGAGACTGAACGACGTTACAATATTCGCAGAACAAGAATCGAAGAGGGCAGACTGCTTACTTCGCGAGAAGGAAGAGATCGTCAAACAGTATGAATCCGACGTGTCGAAGAAGGACCAGATGATTGCTATCGAGGGTGGTCATCGTCAAGATGCGATCTTGGAGTTAGCCCAGGTCAAAGAAGCAAAACAAGAAGAACGGTGCACGATGGACGAGAAGTCGAAGGAGGCCGAGTACTGGAGATTGACAGCTAAGGGAGTGTATGATGAGTACCTCGAGGAGATGCATGAACTTCAGGGACAACTGAAGGATCGAGAGGCGACGCTCAAGCAAGAGGAAAGTTTTGTTCGTCAACTCGATGCTGACAATGAGGAACTACGAGCACTCAAGAAGCTGGAGACACAGGAAGCCTCTAGCAGTAAAGATGGACATCGTGAACGAGCAGTAGTGAAGCGCGCTGAGGGAGGACCCCAAGCTAATTCGACTAGGGTAGACAAGAGGGTGACTGGGTTATTCCCGTCATCATCATCGAATCTGATCCCTAATTCGTCACTAATGCCAGGTTCGATTCTCTTTCCGTCTTTTGGTGATCCAATGATCGATGTACACCTATCCCAGATGCAAGGGGTTGTTGGGCATGTCCCACAATCCGCTGCTACAACTGGTGGTGGTGATGGAGGGGGAAACAACGGTACTACACCCCCATTGGATTACGGTGGATTCTCGCCCAATGGAAATAGACAAGGGGCAGGTCGGCGTCAGTTGAGCCTCACAGGTGGCGGAGGAGGACCTCCGGATGATCCACCCGGTGATGAGGACGAGGATGACGACGATGAAGAGGACGAAGAGGACGAGGAAGAAGAAGAGGAAGAAGATGACAATCGGACACGGAGGAGGCGCAGAAGATCGAGGGATGATCGAGAAATCAAGAACGAAAGACCGAGGATTTCGAGGAAAGAAGCCGAGAGGGTGTCTATTCCTGCTTGGCCAAAGATCCATCAACTCGATAACTGGAAGATGCAACTGCTGATGAATGTTCTGAGCGCATGCGCAGATCCAGATACTGACACATGGACGAAATGGTTGGAACAGGCTCTTGGGTTAAACCCAGACCTGAATGTGCTGAGCGACTCCGGCGGCGACAGATTTGCTACGATAGATATCAAGATGGCCATGGGCATGCAGAACATGTTGAAACAAGCACCTGACGAAGCCAAAGACGTGTACCTCGACGCTACGCGACACTCGGAACTACGACATCAACAAGGGGTGATCGTGAAGGGACGAGAGTTGGTGGCATTGGTTATGCAATCATTCAGAACATCTGATCGAACGGATCTTGTCTACCACATCGAGCACCTATTCAACCTTGACTTTCCTGGAGACAAGAATTTGGTTATATTCAGGAACAAGTGGTATGATTTGTTGCTAAAGATGAGGAGCGAAGACAGACCCAGCAAGTTGGCTCTCAGAGATATTCTCTACAGGAAGATCAAAGGGAGCAAGAAGATGGAGTTCGGCCTCAACGCCTACCATAGATTGCCGGACAAGCATCCTCAAAAGACGTACGAATTCTTGTTGGCATTGATCGACCATCAGATCAAGGCGGATCGGGAGGACCTGATGCTTGACATGAAGGAGAGATCGGTCAAGTCGATGATGAAGTCGGGCGGCAGAGATGCAGCCCCAGCCACTGGCAAACAGGAGAACCAGGGCGGCAAAGGCAGAAAGGGGAAACCCGGTGGACCTGATGCTGCTCCTGTACTCCCAAAGGCCAAAGCAAAGGGTCACGCTGGCAAGAACGGCAAGTCCGACGGTGCCAGCGACAGAGGCAAGAGTCCGGGCGGAGGTAAGGATAACCCATGTTGGTATCACTTCAAGTCAGCGAAGGGATGCGTAAAAGGGAATGAATGCACATTCTCCCACAGCAAGAAGACGGAGCACAAGCTGGAGAACATGTCCAAAGGGAAAGGAAAAGGGAAGTCCAAATCCAGATCATCGTCACCAAAGAGGGATGATGGAGCATGCTTCGCTTTTCAGAAGGGAAAATGCGACAGAGGGAGTGCTTGCAAGTATAGGCACGAGCTCATCAAGAACAATTCAGCTCCGGCAACGTCAAGCGACAAGGCACAAGCCAAATCGAAGGCTGCCGCTAAGGCCGCAGCACCAGCTATTGCAAGAAGGGCCGTCGCGATGCCTGCGATAGTCCTGAAGCAATCGGCTCCTGGAAAGATGATGACGAGATTGTGTTCCAGACCGCAAATGGTTCCACTTCCACGTCTGACGTGGCCAAGAT